AAAACACAGGAAATGCAAGAGGATCTTCTTTACTTGAAGAGACACTGTTAGTTTTGAGGCACAGGACCAAACATGGAACAATACACAGAGATTGCAGCAGCCATCAGAAAGTCACCCAGTGCAATAGAGTCATCTATGATCAGAAAAAAAAGAGCTATTACTCAGACATCACTGGATCATTTTCCAAGAGGTTGATCAGAATCAAATCCATCAAAAAACCCATCATCAGGGGCAGGGATTTGGCTCAGTGGTTCCAAGGCCTGACTTGCAAGTGAAAGGGCAAGAGTTCAAACTTCGGTACAAAAAAAAAATCAACATGGGGCATGGGCCAAAATCCACCTTCCCTCCATCTCCTGTTGCTGAAAATCTTTCAGCTCTGCCCTCTCCCCCATCCTCCCTCCCCCAGTGAATGACTCTCTTCTTGCCAGTTCACTCCATGCAATCCCCTATATACCATTTGTACTGTACTATACCACCATTTTGAGGTAATTGTAAGTAGAAATAGTTTATTTACAATATCTCTGTATGTTTGTTTGGTTTTTTTCTGGGGTACGGGGATCAAACTCAGGACCTTGTGTTTGCGAGGCAGGCGGTGGTACCACTGAGCTAAATCCCTGGCCCTATGTTTGGTTGTTTAATGCTTTAATTGTGTATTTGTGACAAAGGTGTACAAGACTCACTTTGTTGGGCTTACAAACGTTCTCACAGGATGAAACTCATTCATAAGTCAGGGATTTACTATACACGGATCCCTTTCCGTTCCTATCTTGCTTGTGCTTTCAACTGTTTTCCATAATGTACATTCCTTCCCGCCATGGTTTGCCACTCCCTCCTCTCCCCTTCTGAAAAACCACCTCTGTGTCCTCACCTCACTGGCACCTCTTTATCAGGTTTCTTGGCAGGTACTTTCTTATCTTCACAACTTCTAAATGCTGGGGTTCCTATTCTTGGCCTGAGGTTCTCTCTACACCTCTCTGGAAAATCTCGGGAATTGTGGGTTTAAATACAGCCCTGTACTGACAACTGTGAGAGCACAACTGTCCCTGGAGATCTGCAGGTGAGTTGGTCCAGAACCCCTCCCTCCAGCACACCAAAACCTCACATCCCTGATGTACAATGACACACTATTTGCATATAACCTATGGAAACCCTCCCTATACTTTAAGTCATTTCTAGATTACAATACCTAATAGAAAGTAAATGATATGTAAATCACTCTGACACCAGACTGTTTAGGAAAAAATGACAAGATAAAAGTCTGTATACGTTCAGTACACACACGAGCTTTTCCTAAATATTTCCAGTCTACAGATGGCTGAATGCACATATGTGGAACCCAAGAACATGGAAGGCTGACTGTATTTGTTATTGTTGTTGTTGTTGTTGTTGTTGTTTTTGGTACCGGGAAGCGAACTTGGGTCCTTGTACTTGTGAGGCAGGTGGCAGCACCACTGAGCTAAATCCCCGGCCCAAAAGGCTGACTGTATACCTCTAACACAGAATCTCTCCAGGCGCTAGCCTATATCCAACTGCCCACTTAAGCGACCGCTGGAATGTCTTTCAAGTGTGCATACCTGCTGGGAGCAATGCTCCGTAGATCACTCTGGCCAGGCCTAACTCACCTCCTCCCAGGAGAGCGAGGTGGAGAAAGGCCTGGCTGAGAAGAGAGCTGTCTTCCTTCCCACCTATCCACCACAGAAACTTCGAGCATTATCTCCTGCAGCCCCTAGCCCATCTCCCTGTTCCAATCAGGCATCCCCTTTCCATTTCCTTATCTACACTATAGATAAAGGTGCTGAAGATGCAAGCCAAGCTTTTTTTCTCATCAGGACAAAGAGTTTCCACCTGGCCTCACTATGTAAACTTTACTGTCTTCTTTGTCTTACACTTAATCTCTCACGGTCATTCCTGACTCTGTGAACCCTTCACGGGCTGCGGCACATACCATGTCAGTTCTCCCACCCACCCTATACAAAATAGTGTCTAGCCGTGCAATTCCTTAAGCTTGAGAATCATCTTCAACATCCCCCTTTACCTTCCTCCTCCTTCTGGCACAGGGAGCAACTCCCTACTTGTTACCATTTATGTCCCATGTCAGATGTGCCCATACTGAATGGAGCCCAGGACAAAAGATGTTAAGATTAAGAGCAGGAAAGTTGTATTGAGAGAAAGCTCCAGAGAGGCAGAAAGGGTCTTGTCACTGAGGTTTTCTCCAAGGCTATGTTGTACAGCAAAATCACAGTGTGGGTGCAACTTAGATAGCTATGGGTCAAACTACCTGTAAGATTATTAGTTGCTTAGCTGATATTGATCCAACAGAGAAGCAAGGCACATAGCAAGGATATATGGTAAGCATCGCTAACCTGATCTATAACTTCTAAGGTAGAAAGAAGAAAGGCAGCCAGGTGTGGCGGTGGTAAACCCAGGGCCTCAATCCCAGCACTCAGGAGGCTGAGGACTCCTGAGGATAGCAGGAGGATTGCGGTGAGTTCAAGGCCAGCCTCGGCTACATAGTGACCTACACAGTGAGACCTGCACCTCCCCCCCAAAAAATAAGAACAAAGACATCTGGAAAAGATGGGAGTATGGGTCAGGGTATTCTGGTCACCCACATATGCACCTGTCGGGGCCCACTGGGCCAGGTGGTATTGATTACAGCACAATCTCGGGCTGCTGTTTATCTCTAGAGAGACTCACAGTTGTGACATCTCCATTTTGCGGCCTGACCCGCTTCAAATTTGCCTCCAGCCACAATTTTTGGGTTTGTTTTGTTTTGTTTTACAAGACAGGGTCTCACTTTGTCATTCAGGCTGGCCTTGAATTCATTATGTATCCCAGGCTGGCCTCAAACTCATGGCGATCCTCCTGCCTCAGCCTTCCAAATGCTGGGATTACAGGTGTGTGACACTATGCCCAGCCTCCAACCACATTTTTGTTTTTTTATTGAACTCAGGATCTTGCATTTTTGAGGCAGGCGTGGTGCCACTGAGATGAATCCCCAGCACCACAATTTTGATAACCCATCCTCTGCACTGACTCCCTTGAGGCCCGGATCCCTCGCTGACTGCCTACTAATTTTTATCTAATTCAGCTGTCTCTAATACTTCCCCTCTATCCAATCTAGTCTTGACTCTACTCCCAAAGCTGCTGTCCATGTGTCTGCTTCTCCATCTCTTCCACCACCATCACCATCATCATCATGGCTCAGCCACCACTATTTCTTCCTTCTGTGTTTTTGTTTTGGGGACAGGTCTCACTATGTAGTTCAGGCTGGCCTTGAACTCATGGAGATCCTCCTGCCTCAGCCTCCCAAGCACTGGGACTACAGGGGTGTGCCACCATGCCTTGCTTCCATTTCTTATTTTGTTTCAGTTGAATGGGCCAAAAATAGTCCAGGTTCTTGTGTACGCAATGAAAAAATTTCCAAGTGTGCACCTCATAGTAAGTAGCTACATTTACTGAAAATCACGGGATGATAGCAGCAGGAACAGGCAGAAAGGAAAGGGAAAAAGGAGGAGGAAGGGCAACTTGCGGTTGTAGAAGGTGCTACTGGAGGTGGTAGAGTTCTCAGCAAAGGAGCTGGTGGTGGTGTTGACACTGTGCGAGAGGGTGCACGCAGGGCTGGCGCTGACTGGTGGGCTCCTGGGGAGGAGGAAGAGGAGCCTTCAGTGAGTTCTAACACAACTCAGGCTTCCAGTATTGAAGGTCAGGTGCCTCTGACTCCCGGGCCTCCCATTCCGTGTCTCCCTGGAGTCGGAACTGATGATCTGCCACCTCGGGCATCACAGCCTCCTAAGTTGAAACACAGATAATCACCAGGGCAGGGCTGTGCCCACAGGTGAAAGAAGGGACAGCAGTGGCTCATTCAGCTCCTCCATTTCTAACTGTATCAACTTGAACCACAACCTAACGTCTTCAGTCCAGGCTCCATGGGATAGTCAAAGAAAGCTTTGAAAAAATACACATCCAGATATAAATCATAATGGGGTGCTCTACCATTGAGTTACATTTCCCAGCGCACTCTCTCCCTCACTCTCTTTCATCAGGGTCTCGGTAAATTCTACAGGCTTGCCTTGAGCTTGAGATCCTTCTGCCTCAGCTTTCCAAGTAGCTGAGATTACAGGTGTGCACTTGTACTTTTCCTTCAGGTTTACCATAATTGGTAAATATATATTAGTTTGATGTTTTACTGATTCCTCGATTGTAAATTCTAGGAGAATAGAGCCAAGGTCTGTTCTGATATTTGCTCCTCATCCACACCAACCCATTTAGAAGTGTCCAGCAGGGGCTCAGTAAATATTTGATAGAAGAAATGAATACATGGGTACATTAAATGACAGAGAACTCTGCCCTATTTTTAGTTTTTAGTCTTGAATCTCTGCCTAAATCAGGACAAGCAAGTAAGTACCTTAGTTCAACCACAGGCCTTTTTCAAGCCTGTCCTGCTGTAAATGTAATTTTCATCCAAATAACTGGGCAGGTGGTGAGAGGAGGGGGAAGTTAAAATGATTAAAATTTGCTATGGAGGGTTTGGAAGGTAGCTCAGTAGCACCGTGCCTGCCTTGCAAATGCAAGATCCTGAGTTCTATCCCTGGTTCAAAAAAAAAAAATTCAATATGTCATCCACAGTAGTGGTAGTCTGTAATCCCACAGAGGCTGAGGCAGGAGGATCACTGCGAGTTCAAGGCCAGCCTGAACTACATAGGGAGATCCATTTCAAAAAAAAAAAAAAAAAAAAAAAAAAAGATATAATATGTATATGTTCCAATTGTCCAAGATGAATGTAATTATGTATTGCAAATATATACTAATAAAAAGAAAAAAAAATAACCTCGACGCCTGGCAGTACCTGTAACAATCACAGACCAAATAAAGAGGATTGTAACACGGACACTAAACCTCTCCACGTTTGCGCCTCCTGGGCGAACCCTGACACTGCGGCTCATTAGCTCCATTCAGGCCAGCCGAGGGAGCCTCTCCCCGTCCAGGGCTGGGAGCCGCTGCTCGAACTTTCCGTACAACATGAAGGCTCCCGGGGCCGCTGTGCAGGGCAGAGTCTTCCGTACAACAGGGCCGCCTACGGAGCAGACGCCACGCCCCCTTCCGCCTGGCCACCGGAAGTTTCCATTTAAAACCGAGGCGGCAGAGCTAGCGGCCCATTTGGCGGTTGCTGCAGAAAATCTTTTGAACTCGAGCGACGGGGATTGTGGACCAGAGCGGTGGGTCCCTGGGTTGGGCTCTCCCGGGAAAAGGGGCGGGTTTGGGCAGGGGGGAAGGCCTGGCTGTGAGCAGAGCGGCCTTTTACCGGACCGCCGCCCAGCGTTGGTCACATCTCGCCCCCTCCAGGACCCAGCCGTACCCAGACACCATGACCAGTGTGGCGAAGACCG